TGGAGGCTTGAGGTAGGGGGCTGCTTCACAGACATGAGGCGAATGATTTAGCTGCTTAAACAGAGAAGTGATGATTTTTCACTAAGCAGAGTGAGTTAAACTGTGAAAGTAAGTGAAAAAAGCACAGATGATTTGATTTAAAAAAAAATAAAAATCCTTTTATTCTACATTTCTGGTGGGATCTAGGGCTGTAGTTCATGAAGTCCTATATGCCTTCAGGTAGCCACTTTTGTTTTTTACTTGTAGCCTGGTTCACCACTCACTCCAGTGTCTCTTCTGATTGACTCAAATCACCAGAAAACATGTGTTTTCACTCTCTCACAGCAACCACCCCTCCCAATCTCCACTTCTCTGCATTGTCTGTGGCTTCCCTGCCTTTGTGCAGATTGCTCGTTTTTTAACTAGTCAGGAGGTTTAAGGATTTAAAAGTATGTAAGGATTAAAATTTAAAAGTATCCCTGGCTGATACGTGGTAGCAGCAAAACATGCAGCTGAATTGTTGGACATGATGTATTTGAAAGCGCAGATAAACCTTACTCAGTGCCTTTTTTGGAAGCTGTGATTAAACCTGCTTAGAGGCACTGAACAACACTAATTGTGCCTCATTCTTGCAGAAGGCAGGGTAGAGATGCACCTTATAGACTAACTGAATCAGAGTTGCATCAGCTTTCATGAGCAAGCGCTCCCTTCATCAGAGGTGAAGTTTGTTCTCACCCATGCTTGCAGCCAGTTCAGCTATGTCGAGCTGTACCAGTTATCAGTAAAGGGTAGCTTTGTAATAGATATATCCGGGATCAGCTAAGCATGTGACACCCATGTGATCAAACAATGTTAACATTAGAGGATGGCAGAATCAGACTGTAAAGTTGGCTAGAATGTTTACAGCCATGAACTCTGCAGGAAATGAAGGCAATAAATATGATGCTGGGATTCAGGAAGGGGGATGAGATGAAGCATAGAGACGGGGCCTTAAATCATCCTGCACATTTGGTGTGTTATTGTTAGAGGTGCACCGATACATTAGTCCAATATCAGGTCGGCACTGATATAAAGAAAATTGACTATATCGGAAATCAGCCTGCTGTGGCCGATAATTTGGCTGATATAAATGCCCGTGGATACGCACACCTGCAGCGCAGCACACAGGCAGCAAGGAGCAGAGCCCAGCAGGGTGCAGCTGGGAAGTCTGTTGTGGTGAAAGAGGAGGGAGAGGGAAGGGGCATGGGGAGCAGATCAATGCCCCCCACAGTGAGGAAGGGTGCGGGGCTGGGGCTGGGGCTGGGGCTTGGATAGGCGCTGCCCAGCTGCAGCTCATCTGGGGAGAGGGGGAAAGGAGGGGAGCAGCTCCTGCCACTATGTGCTGCTCGTCCAGGAGGGGATGGGGATAAGAATAGGGTGGATGTGCCCCAGGATCTGTGGGGCAGGCTGGGTGGGTTGCAGCTGTGGGCTATGCTGCACTGTGCTTGGGGTGGGTGGTGACGGCACTGGGAGGAGGCTATGGTGAAATTTGGAGTGGCTGCAGCCCTCCCCCGCCCCTCTGTAGTTTGCCTCCCAGGGCCACCGCCACCCACCCTGAGTCAGATCTGGGGACACACGCCCCCCCCCATACCCTCCTGCTCAAGTGGTGGGAGCAGTGGCAGGAGCCTCACCCACTGCCTGCACCCACCCTCCCAGATGAACTACAGCTCCATCACACACTCACCCCACCTAGGCATTGCCTACCCCAGCCCCAGTCCCACTCCCTCCCTCACTGCAGGGGCCTTGATCTGCACCCCCCATCCCCCTTCTTTCCCCCCACATGGCTGTATCAGAAATCGAATTGGTATCAGCCAGTTTGCCTCCTTAAAAAATCTCTATCAGTGCACCCCTAGTTATTGTGGGTCTATTTTCCTCCTGTCTCTTTGTGCTGTCATATTATCTTTCCCTGCACCCTGAATGGAAAATTGATGAAGGGGAAAGATTGCAAGTGAAGGTCAGCAGTAAGAATTTGAAAACCACTGATTATCTTCCCAGAGCAGTGGGGGCTGGACCCGATGATCTCACAAGGTCCCTTCCAGCCCTAAACTTCTGTGAATCTCAATGCACATACCATACATGGGCAACTCCAGTTTTCCCATATTGAAATGCAGTTGGAAAAACTCTAACTCTTAGTGTATAAACCACCACTAGATGGCAGCTTAAGACCAAACTGTGGTTATGACAATATGGAGCTCAGGTCAGATTCTAATCAACCTGGTAGGCACCTACTGATGTATCTAAACTGTCCTATTAACTGAGGGCAAAAATGGATCAAGAAATAGCAATGGCTAAACACTGTTGGGCAACTTCCTGATGTTCCAAAAGGGGCAATATAATTCTCTCTCCCTTAGATTGCTTGGAACTGTACCACAAATGAACAGGCAAGTAGTCCAGTTGCTACCCATGGCAGTTGACATTAGAAAATGCCTTCAGTAGAAGCAGGAAGAAGTGTTGAGTTATTTGATTTTCATGTCTCTGGTCAATCATTACTGATTGCCACTTCACTGAGGAATTCTTTGTGGATAGTTTTCTCTTCATCTGAAAGGAGGAGCTAATTAATTGTTTTTATAACATCAGGGTTTGCCAGACATAGTAGTTGTGGTTTTCCGTGGGTTAGTGTTTTACAAGGAGATATGACTGTCTCTGTCTCAAAATATTCATCTTGCACCAATTGTAGCTTAGTTGTTTTTCACTTTTAGTGTGGACTTGCTTCAAAAATTTCACTAAACTTTCAAATCTGGTTAAAACTATTTTTTAACTGAAAATGGAGCATCATCTTACGCAAGTCTTACATTTTAAAGCAGTGACACCTAGGAGTGACTACTCTTCACCAAAAGAGGAAGCAAAATAACCCAAGTGAAAAAAACCCGAAATTGTCTTTTAAAAGAATACCACATTTCCATTTTATAAAAAAACCCCATATCTACCTATGAATTTCTTCTGATCAAAATAACTTTACATCCATTATCTGAGAGTATTGGGTTCTCTGTGACTCTGCTAGTGTTAAAGACTTGTCTATTAGTGTTAAGGGGAGGGAAAAAAACCCTTCTTGCATTTAGTTCAAGAAAAATGTGCTAAAGACAGAGAAGCATGGTATATAACATCATCACTGAATGCAGGGTAAGGACTCTGAATGGAGAGTTGGATTTTTTTGCCTACGCTAGAAAGAGGAAGTCTTCAGTGTCAGAGCTGAACTAGCTTACCACAGGTTGTGTGGTTGGGAGTTTGTGGATGTGTATGTGTCTGTGCATGTGCAAATGGGAAATTACACGTACTGCAGCTGAACTAATTTGACTAGTTCCCATTTCTTCCAAAAGTGCAGTGCCCTGTTTGGAAGTTACCAAAGAACTCTTGCTCTCCAGCATTACTGCTGCACATTACCAAACAATAGTCCCTGGAGTCTCTGAAAATACATAGGTAGAAACAGTGTTGTAAGGTGCACTTTGTATAGTTGTTTCAGAGTCATGTTGCTGTGCAATAAAGCCGAACTATTTAAAAAATAAGAGCTGGAATCTGCTTCAGATGCTCAGTGTCTCAATAATGGTTCCTGATGCAAAATCCAGTGAAGTCTATGGATCAAACCTTTGCTGTAGATGCTTTTAGTAGCTGTGCAATGCTTTTAGTAGCTGTGGTCACTAGGTGCAAGTATGTTGTTTCCTCAACATACCATGTGGGATGTTTGTTCACAGCCCATTTCCCAGTCAGTAAACAAAAAGAAAGGAGTATGCAAGTCTGCTGCTTGTACAGAAATGACTTTTTTGCATTACTTTATTAAATTGCCAATTCTAAAGAACAGTAAAAAATACAAAAAATGTGCATCATTTGGTGTTCCCTTAAAAAAAGACTGTTAGCAAAAAATTAAAGTAGTTTAGCCCAATGCACATTATGCTGTCCATGCAAAAAGTATTTGGAAGTTATAGATACTGTTCCATCTCCTTTACCATAATTTAACAATGTATAGTTACATTAGTATTTCTAGTATGATTTTTCACATTTTTCTCTGTAAACAAGTAAAGTCCAAGGTCAATTAATAAAAAGGGCTTAGTAACAAACTAAAGGAATTTTTCCCTGTACAGTAATTACAATGCAAGATTCTGGAATTTGTTACCACTCACATGTATAGCAGTAGACTGAAACATTAGAAAGACTTCTATTAGTATAAAACTATGACTGTATTAAGTGTTTGAGTCTCAGGTAATAAGCAAATAATATAATAAGTTCTAGTTCTACAGACCCTTTCTGTTTCCCAAAGTACTTTCTACTCTTGTAATATCTTAGTATAACAATCATACAGTAACACTACTCCATACGTAGCTGCTCTGCTTGTTATAAACCTCCAAACATTTGTTTTATAAAAAGCTTACAAATAACATGCACCTGGGGAGGAAGAACCAGCAGCACACCTACAGGCTGGGGAACTCCTTTCTTGTCAGTGCAGAGGCAGAAAAGGATCTTGGAATCATTACTGATGCCACAATGAACATGGGCCGACAGCATGGGGACGTGGTCAAGAAGGCTAACCGCACCTTGTCATGCATCCAGAGATGCATCTCAAGCAGGTCCAAGGAGGTGATCCTCCCCCTCTATGCGGCACTGGTTAGGCCGCAGTTGGAGTACTGCGTCCAGTTCTGGGCGCTGCACTTCAGGAGGGATGTGGTCCAGAGGAGGGCCACCCACATGATCAGGGTCAGCAGGGCAGGCCCTGCAAGGAAAGGCTAAGGGACCTGAACCTGTTCAGCCTCCACAAGAGAAGGCTGAGGGGGGATCTAGTGACCTGTTACAAACTAGTCAGGGGGGATCAGCAGGCATTGGGGGAGTCCCTGTTCCCCCGAGCACTACCAGGAGTGACTAGAAATAACGGTCACAAGCTGGCAGAGGGTAGATTCAGACTAGACACCAGGAGGCGCTACTTCACGGTCAGGGCGGCTAGGATCTGGAACCAACTTCCAAGCGAAGTGGTGCTGGCTCCTACCCTGGGGGTCTTTAAGAGGAGGTTAGACGAACACCCTGCTGGGGTCGTTTGACCCCAGTACTTTTTCCTGCCGTGGCAGGGGGTCGGACTTGATCACCTGCTCAGGTCCCTTCCAACCCTACCAACTATGAAATATTTAGGTGATTAAAAACAGAAGCTATAAAATAATTTGGTGCACATGGAAGACCACTTGACAAATGTGTAGCTGCTGTTCGCTAAGTGGCTTGTTTCCCCAGAAATTTGTATAACGTGAGTACTTGGCAACAGACTGACTTCTTTCCCTTGTGTGGAAGAACTACTTACAAAGTAGAAGTTACACATTATGTTTCCCAAGGAAAATTAGAAATAAATGGACTTTCCTGTACAGACACCTTTCAAACAGTGGGCACTAGATTTGTTCGGAATTTTTTGTAGATTATTAGAAATGCTAATGCTGTATGTGTATTTGTAAGTCACACCACAGAGTAAGTTTTTGAAGGCTTCAATACTAAGTGATCAAAACAAAGTTGGGTGAATGAAGTTTTCATTATGAATCTTGAATTCTAGAATTAAAGTGGGGGTGGAAATCAAATGGGAAATTCACTTTACTCTATTATTTGTTGATTATTCCCACCCCCAGAATCCAGGTTTTATGTGAAAAACCAGACAGCTGTGCTGTGTGGTACTAATAATTCCCATAAACCACAGGGCTAGATGGGATATGACAATCATCTAATCTGCATAAACATGAGCCATCACCTGGTTTCTAAACCAAGCCTGCAGGTTCTCTGAGAGTCATAACCTGACTTTTTAAAAGGTACCCAGTAAGGATTTGAAGATTTTATCCCATCTCTTAAAAAGTTAAATGAAATCTAGCTGCAAAGTTCTTTAGCATTTTCCACATTCATGCCACTTTTCACTGCACACACGTGGCTGCAGGTGCAGAAGATGGATAGGAAGTGAAATAAAGTCATGTTCAGAGTCAGGGCAGTAGCCTGAGAATTTCATCAAGCCTGGGCTTAAAGCTGCATTGTCTGGACAATTACAGATAAGCAAAACACTGCTTCCTTCCCTTAGAAATCCTGCAAATTGAAGCCATGGTATTTGCCCTGTCAAAGGCTGTTAGATTGTTCATAGAATAACCTATTAGCCTTATGCCACAATGTCTGATTTACATAACTAAAATTTTAATAAAAATATCTGTAGTTTAAAGAACAGAAAAGTTATCTGTATAAATAGATAAGTTTCTGGAAGCTGTGTTCAAGGAGATGACAACAGCTAATGGGGATAGTATTGTAACTGGGCCCTGAATAGATATATATAATGTAGCAGACAGAAAATACTTGCTTCCTAGAAAGGTCCAACATGTAGCTTTGAACATGCTACACCACTACAGAAGCAGAAAACATTTTAAGTATAAAACAAAATGATCAAATATGCTTTATTGCTGTTCATGGGAGACATTCCAACTCCCTTGATTACTCAGAAGTGACCTTTTTCCCCTTCCAGCTCTTTTCTCTTTGTTCAAGTTCAGCTTCAGTGAAGGCTGCTGGTCCCCAGTTTGTGATTAAGTGAGGATTCTTAGAACCTGCAAGACACGGTTCAGCATTTTAAACATGCACAGGTAAAATCGCCAATGACTGCATTAGGCTAGGGATAGAATCCGCGTCACTTTGCACACAACTAACTGCTGCACGTTGGTTATGAATTTTTAGACAGACACTGCAGGTTCCTGATGTAGAACAGAACAGCGTATGCTGTTCTTCAGCAGACCTCAGGAGAAAGTGAGGGTTAGAAGCAGCTGAGCAGCCTTTGACCCAAGACCAGGAGCTGCAGACTTAAATTCTGAAGCGATCCAGGGCCAAACCTGCTCCCTGCTGCCTCCACAACAGAGGAGCTACAAAGCTATTTTCCTCCCTCCTTCAATGAACACAGGGCATGGAGCCAGCAGAGTTAGGACCGCGCTTGTGAAAGTCAATCATTTAACATAAGCAAGGAAATGTCTTTCACCATTATAGTTGTGGTAGGGTATGTATCTAGATCACCTATGCAAGCTGGCAATAGAAGTTTAACATTAGATTATACATACACACAGCATAAAGACTTTATCTGTGAAAGATCATAAGGGCATGGCTAACCTAAGAGTTATGGTTGTTCTAATACACGTTGTTTGACTGCAGCAAATTCTAATTTCCCCTGGCCTTAAATTCCTGGCACCTTGGTGAACCCCACCTCCCCCAAATACCGTATTTACTCAAATCCATGACAAGCTTTTTTTGCTCCCAGTCTAAATCTATATCTATAGATGGGTAGGGGGGGGGGGGGGAGACGACAACGATGGACACGGGACACAGACGATGACACACACATGACACCTCATCTTAGACTCCAATTCTGACCTGGGGCAAGGGGCAGGGGACGGGGCATGCAGCCAGGGGGAGTGTAGAGGAGAAGACAGTGGGGGTAGGGTGCACAGAGGGGACTGTGTGATGGGGAGGGAAGAGGGCAGGTCAGGGAGACGGGAAGGAGGGAGCAAGGGAAAGATGGCACAGCCTGTCCTACCCCCATTGCACTGCTTACCTTCGGCTCCAGCTTTAGCCTCTCTGGCACCAACTCAGCTAGGCCAAGAGCTGCTGAATCTGCTTCTGCCTGGCTAGAGGGGGCAGGGCTGCTGCTGACTGCCCCAGAGCTGAAGCCAGAGCCTCTCAGAACAGGTAAGTGGGGGTATAGGGAGGGGGCAGGCACTGGGGCTAGGGGACAGACAGACACAGGTGGGACAAGGAAGGGTAGGGCAGGCACAGGTAGGAGTGAGCAGGGGACAGGGGGCAAGTGACAAGGGGGCAGACACTGGGGAAAAGAGGGGGACAGACAGGTGCAGGGAGGTAACAGATGGGGGTTGCACCAGGCAGGGGGACAGGTGGCAGGCACAGGTATGGCATGAACAAGAAACAGGTGGCAGGGAACAAGTGGCAAGGGGCAGGGGTCTGATCCCTTCCCCCCTTGGGGGGCAGGGCGGGGGGATGAATTTAAGATGGTCGCCCCTCCCTCAGTAGTTCGATTCTAAAGATGGGAAATAATAACAAATCTGTCAATTTTCCATGTGCAGAATCTAACAATTGTGGGTCATCTTAAATTTGAAATCCTCTTGGAATAGGGTAAATATGGTAAATCCTGGCCTTTTCCTTTTCTCTTGTAGCCAAAACACCACAAGTCTTCCTCTGACTCAGTCAAAGCTGACTCCTTCTCCAGCCAACATCACTGCTTTAACTAGACCAGGATCCAAGACTTCACATAAATCTTAACAGGAAATCTCTTTAGGTTTTCAAAAAAGGTAGAGCCAGATAGCTGCTTCTATAAGCACACATCCAAGCATGAGGCCATGTCTGTTTCAATATTTTATCATGCCACTATTGTACACTGCTTTACTTTAGAGCAATGTGAAACTGTGCTATAGTCTTTGTTCTCAAAAGCCATTGGTGGGGGTTGAGCAAGAACTTTCAGTTTCTGCATGACTGTGTGGAGTCTACAAAACCACAGCCACCATGCTCAAAAACAGCGTACTCAGATCACCAAGCTGCTCAATGGCCATTGTTACAGAGGAAAAGGTCATCCCAGATAAATCAGCCATAGCTTCAAGCACTCTCTTAGACATATCAATGACAAGGGCTCTCTTAATCTGAGTTTTCTATACTGATAACCCACCTGGTTCTATTAATCGAATCAATCCCTCATGATGAGCTACTTTATCTTTCCAGCTCTTGGTGTTGTTGGCTGCCATTTCCAACTTCTTTTTAACTCCCTGAAACAAAGATCCAGCACTCTTAAAAACAAGAAATTTGCCTTATTTCAAATACAAGTGTGAATACACCCTCCCCAATGGATACAGGTGTGAACACACCCTCCCCCCACCCTGACACTGAAGCCATCCCACAAAAGCCAGCAAGCATCCTTTGTTCATAGTTCAGGCAGGAACAAATAGGTTCATGAAGTAACTTGATCAGCTGTTAAAAGAACTAATGATGTGCTTCAGTATAAGCTATTACGTTGACAGGGGAGATCAAGTTCCGGTTTTCTGCATTGGTGGAAGGCTGGTTGTTCCCCCTGCAGATTGAAATCCTCATTTCCATCTCAAAATAAGTTGATGTTTTCTGGTGAAGCTAAGACTCAGACTCAAGCTTCATGAATGGAGCAGGTGTTTCTAAGCAGATCTCCTGCTACCATCCTGACCACAAGCAGAGCAGCTTAAGCATCTTTGGGCCACATCCAGACAAGCTGTCAAGCACAGTCATGTGGTGCCACATACCACACATTCAGTTGTTCTCTGTCCTGCAAGGGAGCAGCACAGAAGGTTCTTTGACCCCTGGATATCCAGGGGTCAAAAAAAACCCACACAGAAAAAAAGCAGAGCAGTGCACATTGGCAGCATGCGCTGCTCAAAAGTGGAGCTGGGCCACCTGAAGCCACACTGTGGCTGCCAGCTCAGTGCTGGCCCCAGCCTCCTCTACCGTGCCTAGGGTAACTTGCCAGAGCATGAGTAGCATAGGTGTTCCCTGCGGACAACTAGTGGTGGCGCAAGGTGCACCACTGCTAATTGCCCCTGGGGAACCAAACATCCACACCACATGTGGACATGGCCTTGGAGTTCATATTTTTGAGGGCATTAGCAAAAGGAGCAAAACTGCAAGCACCAGAATGTCTTTCCACTGCAGTCCTGGGACATACATTTCTTGGACTGATTAAAGTATTTTTCCAAATACCAGCAAGGCTTCCAATTAACACCACCTGTTCTAATATTAAAAGAACACTTGTTCACTGGAACCTGGACTGAGATGAGACACGTTTCAGTATATGCCCAGAATTCCCTGACCTAGGTTCAGCTCCCTATTTCTCCCAAAGACCTTCTGTATGATCTTGAGTAAAGGACACTGGATTCAAACAGAGATTAATGAATTTTAAAAGGTCTATTATGCCCATTACCAGCCCTTGGCTTTCTTTTAATTCAGCTATCAATGAATACCTGGCATAAGAATGAGAAATGCTGCTGAGACATGCAGTCTCTCACCTCATATTGCTCAAGTGCCTGCTTCCTTTCCAGTTCCAGCTGTTCCAGTTGTTGCATAGCAACTTGAAGAGCACGTTCCTTGATGATCCTCTGGTTCTCTAGCTCTTGCTTCTCCGCTTCTGTCATCTGAATGGTTTGTTGCTGCTGCAAGTGCCATTTTTCCAGTTCAGCTCTTTTTCTTGACTCTTCCTCCAATAACCTACAGAGGTGACAGTGATGACAGCTTCTCTTGGTTGGAAAATTCAGCCTATATGTAAGCAGGGCTAGCAAAAAAATTCCTGGAGAGTAACTTTGGAAGACAGGACTCTTTTACAAAACTGCAAATGTACACAGGTGGATTCATGAGTTTATGATCTCACCATTGGAAAGTACTGTTGGAGTTGTTGTTACTGTTGCCTGCTGTGCAAATGCAGTCTTGAAAAACCACATGAAAAGGAAGGCGTGCAAACAGTTACACTTGTCATTAAATAGGAGAACTGCTATCCACAGTAGAATATGAAGATACAGCAGGAAGTGAAAGTTAGCAGCATTAAATTAAACTGGGATAAAATACAAGCAGATATGGCAAGCAGGTAATCATTAATTTCCAAAGCCTCTGTTTTCAGAAATGGTAACATACTCTAGGTGTCCAACTTGATACAATAAAGTGGCCCTGTTTCCTGAAAACACTGAGCATCCACACAAATATTAAAGTCTCTCATCTCTGAAATGCAGACAGCTGTATTTCTGTATTTGTATTTGAAAGGTATCACCCAGATATAGTCTTTGGCATCTTATTAAAGAGGATGCCTATTAATTACTGTGTATCTGTAGACCTCCCTCTGCAGAAGGGCTGGGGCCCAGCCTAAGCACCATCTGGGCATCTGAAAAGAGTGAGATGGACCTAGCCAACCTGCAGGCCCAACAAATTGGCAGGTCCTCCTGGGCAGGCACCAATGCTTACATCATTGCCCTTTGACAGTGAGCAGGTGGGGATAGAGGGTTTGTCTTTTACTATTGGGTTATGCTTCTTGGGGGTGGAGAAGATTTAGGGGGAGAGAGGAGTAACTGCCACAGCCCTTCTGTAAGAGAGAGAGGGTGTCTATGGAGAGCACTTTGAGGGATGTTGAGGGATCTCTCCTGCTCCCCTGGGGTCGAGGCAGGGCAGGGTGGAGGGTGAGAAGAGGTTTCTTGTAACTGGATGTCAAGCACATGGTTGGAATTGGCAGAAGGGCTTAGGATCATAGGAAAGGGCTGGAAGGGACCTCACAAGGTCACCTAGTCCAGCCTGCTGCTCAAGGCAGGATTATCCCTGACTAAACCATCTTGCCAAATATCCATCTAATCTCCTTTTGAAAGTTTTCAAGTATGGAGAGTGCACAACTTCTCTGGGTAGCCTGTTCCAATCCTAACTGCTCTCAGGGTCCTCACCTCCGGCCTAAATTTCCTGTTGCAGTTTGAGGCCATGGCTCCTAGTCCTGTCCCCTACAGCCACAGAGAAAAGCCCATCTCCAACCTCTCTATATTCACCCTTGAGGTATTTGAAGACTGTTATCAAATCCCCCCTCAGTTTTGTCTTCTCCATGATAAATAACCCTAGTTCTTTCAGTCTTTCCTCATAAATGCTATCTCCTGGGCCCTTGGCCATCTTTGTTGCCCTGCACTGGATTCTTTCCAAACAGTCCACGTCCTTGAAGTGTGGGGCCCAAAACTGGACACACTACTCCAGGGGAGGCCTCACCAGAGCTGAATACAGCAGAAGAATCGCTTCCCTTGTTTTGCCAGTGACACTCCTGGTCATACAACCCAGGATGGTGTCGACCTGACTAATCTAGTCTCTTTTTATGACCAGGTTACGAAACGCCTGGACGCAGGAGTAGGGGTTGATGTCGTATGCTCAGACTTCAGGAAGGCCTTCGATACGGTATCCCACCCCATACTGGTGAACAAGTTAAGAGGCTGGGACTTGGATGACTACACAGTCCGGTGGGTGGCGAATTGGCTAGAGGGTCGCACCCAGAGAGTCATAGTGGATGGGTCGGTATCGACCTGGAAGGGTGTGGGCAGTGGGGTCCCGCAGGGCTCGGTCCTTGGACCGATACTCTTCAATGTCTTCATCAGTGACTTGGACGAGGGAGTGAAGTGTACTCCGTCCAAGTTTGCGGATGACACAAAGCTATGGGGAGAAGTGGACACACCGGAGGGCAGGGAACAACTACAAGCAGACCTGGACAGGTTGGACATGTGGGCGGAAAACAACAGAATGCAGTTCAACAAGGAGAAATGCAAAGTGCTGCACCTAGGGAGGAAAAATGTCCAGCACACCTACTGCCTAGGAAATGACCTTCTTGGTGGAATGGAAGCGGAAGGGGATCTTGGAGTCCTAGTGGACTCCAAGATGAACATGAGT